TGCAGGGACAAAGCTATTTTTGACAGATTATGATTGGAAATTACTGAAAAGTCATCCATGAAAGCCTTCTCTAATACACTCTCCAGACAATATCCAAATTTTTGTTTTCTTATTCAAAGTACCAGATATCCAGAAAATCGTTCTAACTGAGATCTATAAGGTGCCCTTACCTATGAAAAAATGAATATTGCCTCATTTAATAATTACTCATTAAAAATTTGAAATAGAATAAAGGTCACCTTTTTTACATTAACTGTAAAATTCTACTCAAATTAAAACTTGTCTTTCAAAAGTATTTTCTCAAAATCAGTTGGTTACAATCTTGCTGTTAATATAACAGTGGTCATTCAAATCCAGTTTAAATGCGTCAGTCCTTTCTTGGTAACTACTAAAAACTTAGGAACATTAAGCATACTAGAAAACTGTTCAGAGATTTAATGGCCCCCAGTATCCATAGGACACTCCTTTTTAAAGTAGTAGTAGTTAATAGTTCTCCTCCAAAAAACATTTTCTGTTTTGGCACAGAACTGTTATCTAGTTTATGTGTGCTTTAAACCCCCCCATACTTTTGTCCTATTTTCACTCTAGTCTGCTCGGTTTTAGGAATGCCACTGTTCAATAGTGTATAAATTAACATTATATAGGAGGGAGAAGAGGAAACACTTCAGTAGTAATGTAGCCATGGATAAGATGACAATGACAGTTTAAGTGACTAAATACTTTCCCTGATGTACTAATAACAAGATTTTTTTCATTTAAAATTCATGTCGAATTATGGAATCATTATCCTCCAGTCTCTACAGTAGCTGCTTAGTAATTTATTTTAATGTGAATAAGATTAGAGAAATGCATTGACTATAGTGAAGTGTTTCCCTGTATCAGAACATTGTGATAAAGGACTCATCCAAAGTAAAAACTACAGCTCTTTGAAAGATATTATTGTTGTTGTTGTTATTAGACTATTGTTCTGATAGCAACATTGCATCCCGTGCTGTAACCAGATTTCTTAAAACTCAGCTTTACTCTGCCAACTTTCTAAAAGGCATGCTTTAGCAAAAAGATGACAATGAACAGTAGTACCCTGTTGATATTTAATGTGATTTTGAGGTGTTTGGTTACTCTGGCCTCGTTCATCACTGTGGTTTACACAAAGAGTAAGAGCAGTTCCTTTGGCTCCGTCGCTCCACTTAGGAGTATTACGCTCCTTTTGATTCTGGCTGAGATGATTTTGCTGAGAGCTCTGTAATAGCATATCACCCTCTCCAGCCTCCCAGTCTGCAGGATTTGAATTACTTGGTGTGAAGACAGATCCCCTGGATCCATTTTGATCTGCATAATATTCGATATTGGGAAAAAGAAATATTATTTTATTGTTAATGTTAACCATAATAGTTATTCTTCTCCTTCTTCTTCATCCTCCTTCACTACAATGGTTAAACTTACCTTTATCTGTGAACTGTATTTGTTTTTCTTGAATCCTGTTGTTACGGTCTTGCTTATGTTTTGTGTGTAAAACTGGAACAGGTTCCTTCTCACTCCATTTCGTGGGACTGTGCACTTCCTGATTTTCTATCCGATGACTGCTTTTTATGCTTTCTAAAAATTGTTTGCTTTTTTCAGGTTTTTGTTGGGGAAGACTGGATAATCTTGATCCATCAGCTTCTGCATTAAAGCAATGGCTCTGTTGAGTTGATGATGATAATGGATAAATGTCTTCAAAGTATCCCACTCCAGGTAATAAATATAATTCAGGGTAAAGTGCCTAAAATATGCAGTATATTAATCAGACACAACAGAGGAAATGTGCAATGCAAAAAGTTTCTGAAAATGAGAGCTTAAAAGCCATACAATACATACATAAGGGGGAGCAAATGACTTCAGTTCCAGTTCTGCTTCTTGCTTTGCTTTCACCTTGGAAGACAAAGAATGGAAGTGTAACTAATAAGATAATATATTTTTACCAATAATGTTGCATGTGACTTAATTTCTGTGTTCTGTCATCATCTTTACATACTACATTTATCTTAACCATCACTGTCTTCCGTAACGGCCTGATGTTTTCTGGTATGGCACTGAAACTTTGTCTTTTTTTCAAAATCTGCATCAGAGCCACAAGAGTACATGAATAAACGTCTTTATCCTTTGCACTTTCTCTTATGGCTCAAAGGACCTGATCCAACAGTCAGAGCAGAAGAAAGTCTTAGCCTGTCTTTACCAGAATCTGCTTAAAGCTGAATCTGAATAGAAATGCTGAGTCTCACATAATTTTCTCTACTTACCTGATACACAACAGCAAAATATTTAATGTGTATATATATGAAAAACTCCTATGACTCATGTCTTCTTGTATTTATCATTTTGATATTTTTTGTGTGATATACATGTTCAGATTTCAACAGTAGTCCTAAAAACAAAGTCTAAAATAATCAACATATATTTGAAAGATGTGCTCCAACAGAAAAAAAAAAATCTGAGCTTACATTTAAATAATGAAGTTGAACTAACATGGGGCCAAATTCTGTTCTCAATAACAGCCAGGCAATGCCACTGAGTCACTGTTAAGAGACACTGGCTGTATGAAAGAAAAGGAAGAGTAAATGAACACGGTTTTGGTTCATGTTTGTTTTTCATTTTAAAACCCTTACTTGCAAATAGGGTACAGCTCTTAGTACTGCTTACGTTGTTGCTGTTATGAAACAAGACTGGGGGGGAAAAAAAAACCTGCTCAACAAATATTTGATCATGGAGATGTAATTCAGTGAGGTTACCATGACCTTAAACAACAAATAAACCAGTTAGCTGGTTTACTGCTTTATACTTTGTTATAAACAACAAGCAACAGTAAATACGCCATATTAAAATTCTATCTTTAATTTTACACTAAAAATCTTCACTTTAATCTACCAATATCTTCAATTCTCTATTAAAGTAAAATAGTTCATTAAATTCCTGACATTTTAAAGGAAGCTGGAAAATTTCTCCATTTATCTCAGAACTATCAGCAGGGAAGAAAATACACCATCTTACTTATTACCGTGCACCTCAATTCTTTGAAGACACATGCACAATTTCAGATTCAGATTGTGTCACAGTCTTTAAGTTTCTCTTCAGATTTTTCCACTTAGTTTTTGCACATTACTTAGCGTTTATTCTACTCTTCAATGTGGGTAACTCTAGTGATAACTCAACTACAAATGAAATAAAGAACAGCACCAAATTTCCAGCTTGCTATTCATTTCCAAATCTATGAGAAATGGAGGTGAAATAAGAAGTGGAAAAAATTATTCTATACTTATGTACATCACTTAAGTCCTTGTGTATTATGTGAACAAACTTTTCAGTTGGACGGTTTTTCAAGTTTATTTAATCTTTAGCTATAGTTCGTAAGATAGGAATATATAGACAATCAAAGTGAGGAACAGTTATGATTCAGAGATGTAGGGTTTTGATTACATAAATCTCAGGCTGCATTACTGGACTGATTATTGGAACATAAATGTACATCCAGAGAAGTTTTCACTCAGGGACTGATCTTTAAAGGCCTTTGGGCAGGTCACAGCAGGAACCATTAGAGGAACTCTCAGCTTCCATTCCAAATTCTTCAAGTGCTATATTCCCAGACATGTACTGGTAATAATGACCTTAGAGCGATTTTTTTTTTTAAATGCAACTAGATTTGTCATATTTAATCCATTGGTTTATCAAAACTAGCATCTTTTCACTGGATGGCAACTAATTACATCTGACGCTTTAAAGGATGTTTCTAACATACCTGTCCAGCTGTGCCTTTGTATTTGGGGAATTAAATGTGCTCTGACAAGAGCTTATGCTCCATCATGTTTAAAAGCAAATGCTAACAGTGCTCCTAAAGTTATCTCTATTTTCATGTGATATTATCTAACCCGCAGGAACAAAATCTGTAGTTTATAGTATAAAGCAGAAGAGCATTAAAGAAAAAAATATTAACTTACCACTGCTAGTTTTTTCCCAATGCACTTTAAAAACTTGAATTTATCTGCAACTGCAGCTCCACCCAGGTGCTCTCCAAGCTTCTCCCGTAGCGCTCTTAATGTGGTGTGAGGAGATACCCTAGAATGTTGTTATTCATTAATACATCTGTAAGATCAAATAATGATGGCTAGTTAGTAAGAGGGGGAAGATAATGCTATACACGTGCTGGCTTGCATGGACAGAATGACCAAAAATGGGGACTATGTCCTAGAACTGAACATAATTACACGCAGGCCAGAGAGTCTTGGTGTGGTAGAGTTGGAACATTGTATCGCGCTGTATTACAAGGGCTGTCATAACATTAACTAGCAATATTCATATTTTAGGAACCCCATACAAAGGGAGAATATGGAAGTAGCTGAAATTTGAAAACTACTCCTCCAGAATGCTCTTGCTCATCTGGAGATGAGTAACAAAACCAGTAGAAACTAAAGACATACATTTCCATATAGGTGACAGAGTTTCATGGGGCTGGTCCAGGACTGTAGAACATACCCCTTCAAGCAGTAAGGGCTAGAGGAGATTTCATCACTGTCCACTTTAAGTAGCAGGTACATTCCTTTGATTTTTGTCCTCTCCAACACAAATTTACAGAAGGGTGTGTGCATGTGTACATGCAAATGTATTTTAAATCAAAACCAAACACTGCAGTGTGAACATTTCCACCATAGTTTGAAGATGAGAGAGCTGATGCAAATATGAATTGCATCATTTAATGTACTACTGGAAACCATGCAAATATTAAACTAATGAGCTCAGTATAAAAATCATTATAGAATAAAAAGCACCTCTGCAGAATAAAACCAAATGTGCAAGAGGCACACAAAAGCTCTGCAGCGCAACATAAGCAATTCTAATTGCTCCTATGCTGCCATATAAAATAAACCAGGGAACAAATTCACGCCTGAGACTGTTAATCACTCATGCTGATTAAGTGTTGGTACACTGCCTAGCATGATTTTGGCCCAGGCAGCTATCACTCTTCAAGCAATGCACAGACATAGCTTGGGGGATAGCACATGCCATTGCCAGTAAATAGTACAGACGAGAACGTGCATTCCCTTCAACTTAGACAGGTCTTCAACATTAACCTGTCAGGGTTTGTTTGCATTTTCAAACAGCCCTATAAGCCTTCATTTCACGCCCTAGGTATGTAAAACCACACTCAGTTTCATCTCACAAACACAGTACTTTAGTGGGTTACGATGCTTCCCTTGCATTATTTCAAATACTCTGGACTTAGAGGACCCTTCTTAAGATCATAAATCTGCCTTGGAGCACAGGCATGCAGCAAAGGAGACCAAAGTCTGCAGAGTGGACACATCTAGGCCACACTGCTTGCTCCCTGTACATTTACCTCCTGTTTATTTCTTCCTCAGACATTTTTTGCCCACACTTGCTGCAGATATTAGCCCTAATGTCATTTATTTCAAATGTATAAAGAAATATGTGAAAGATGGATACATAATTCAATACACACCCTTCCAAGGTCTTATGTGAGAACAGAGATGATCTATAATTCAAATCTCTCTCATTCACTGTCGTTTCTTCAAGATGATGTCTCAGAAGACATACACCCTTGAATGATCTTCTGAAGCCCAATAAATGCAGGCTCTATCAGAGGTAATTCTAACACTGCACATCCTTCACTGGACAAGCTGGAGAGGTGGGCCTGTGTGAACCACATGAGGTTCAACAAGGCCAAGTGCAAGTTCCTGCATCTGGGTCAGGGTAACCTCCGGTATCAGCACAGGCTGGGGGAGGAAAGGATCGAGAGCAGCCCTGCCGAGAGGGACTTGGAGGTATTGATGGATGAAAAGCTGGACATGAGCCATCAATGTGCACTGGCAGCCCAGAAGCCAACCCTACCCTGGGCTGCATCAGAAGTGTGGCCAGCAGGTCGAGGGAGGGGACTCTGCCCCTCTGCTCTGCTCTGGTGAGACCTCAACTGGAGTACTGTGTCCAGCTCTGGAGCCCTCAGCACAAGAAGGACATGGAAGTGTTGGAGTGGGTCCAGAGGAGGGCTACAAAAATGATCCGAGGGCTGGAGCACCTCTCCTATGAGGACAGGCTGAGAGAGTTGGGCTTGTTCAGCCTGGAGAAGAGAAGGCTGAGGGGAAACCTGATTGCGGCCTTTCAGTGCTTAAAGGGGGCCTGTAGGAAAGATGGGGAAAATCTTTTTAGTAGGGCCAGCTGTGACAGGACAAGGGGTAATGGTTTGAAACTAAAACAGGGTAGGTTTAGACTGGATATAAGGAAGAAATTCTTTACAATGACGGAGGTGAAACACTGGAACGGATTGCCCAGAGAGGCGGTGGAGGCCCCATCCCTGGAAACATTCAAGGCCAGGCTGGACGGGGCTCTGAGCAACCTGATCTGGTTAAAGGTGTCCCTGCTCACTGCAGGGGGGTTGGGCTAGATGACCTCTAGGGGTCCCTTCCAAGCCAAACCATTCTATGATTCTATAATGCCCATCAAAACCAGCAAGGACATCTAAACCTAAGGCATTTATGAACAGCAGGAAAAACATCTAAGTAACCACGATGTATCATGGGAGAAAATTATCTAGGTGTACAGAACCTGAGATATAGGGCAGAAATTTATCTGAAAATTAGTTGCCAGCACAGCTGCTAGGAACATATAATAATACACTTCTTACTTGCTGCCACTGGCTAGCAGAAGACCAGTCACATCCCAGTCATTTGCTTCAGGGTGTTCCTTTAAAAGTAATGCAAACTAGAGTTCATTGCAGCCATCTCATCTAGAAATAACAAAAGTATGGCTTCTGTGGTGAGGAATGAGGAATACATAAAAGATCACAGAGGCTGAGAAATCAAGTTCATGGGAACAAGAACTCAGGGCCATACACAATTACACACTTAATATTTTCCTCTAATTTCATGATTAATGGAAGCAGCCTGTACTTAGACCTAGGAATCCTTTGTTAAGCTGACTCAGACAGTACTAGGATGGTCAATATGCCTGACAGTGCTATCCACAACATCCAAACAGCATTAGTACCAGCAAGGCTGCTGTTCCTTCTCCCAGATTATAATATGAGTTCTTTAAAATATTTTTTTTTGTTTTTAAAGACAGTGATACACTGGCCAGGTACTAGTTATTGCTAATGCTACTGTACTGCAGCACTGCATAGTACCCATAGAAAAACTAATTAGCAATTATTTAAGACTCATTAGCAAGCAACAAATACCCAAGATATAAACCTACTGAAATCAATGAGAACCCTAATTTTAAGCTGATGCCTCAGAATTGAGCCACAGTGAAATAAATTTACACTCGAGAACAGAGGAGAGTGACAGGCATCCAAACACATGAAATGATTTGAAGTTGTCACTCCAGCTGTGTATTTGCACCTCTGCTGGAGACTGGAACCGCAAACAAAATGGATAAATGCACTTAATTCCTCTGGTTTTGAGCAGCCTTTCAACAAAAGAAGCTGCGAGAATGAACACATTCTTCCCTACAGGCTCATACCTGACTGCTGTCAATCCTTTCAGCTACACAGTATATTGTCTGAAGTGGACAATACAAGCCTAAATTTAAACTAGTTAAAACCCATATTCCCTGCAGTTTAAGCTAAATTGACAGGTTTTGCACAGGAGCAGACAAGGTGCATGTAAAAGCTCCATTTCAATACACATCTTTACATTATTTCGTTTTTCTACCACTTCTTACCACACTAGATACACACAGATTTTGTGAGTAAAGTGTTTAGGAGTATAAAACAAACTTTCAACGTTATGAAAGATTAAAACTGCAACTCTTTGTACCAAGTTTGGGCTAAGAACTGGGAGCCGGGGTATTCTTTTACAAAGTCCTCTGAACAGCTATCTGAGAGCGCACATAGCGCACGGTGTTGTACGCAACCTTTCAGAAATACTCCTGGAGAAGAAAGAAGATACAATGGCGGTTGCATGGGCTGTAACACTTCCCCTTGAGAAACATGCCTTAAGCTCCTTCTTCGGACAGGGAGAGCTCAGATTGTCACATCCCCGTTCCTGGGAATTGACAGGCTATCACGTCTTTATCAAGCCACTCTGTCTTGAAGGTGGCCCATTGCCAAAAAGAATTGAAGATTCTTATAATCAGGCTCAAGGAGACAGAAAGAATATAAGACTGTGAATTTACAACATAAATTATCCTGCAGAAATACTAGCACTGCTCTGGAAGTCTGTTTCAATGGTCTACACCAACGGCTGCAATGAAGCTAAGCCTGATGCAGTCCAAATGAACGTAACGCTAGTCATGGACACCACTTACCTTCCAGAAATGATCAGAGAAGTCTCTTCTGACAGATGTAATTGTGCTCCATAGGGCAATAGCTGGACTAAATGACTGAAGGACAATGTAAAGGATCTGCCTACCATGTACATGAAGCCTAAGACTATACTCACCTTATGAATCCGGCTGAGATGAATTTGCTACTAAGAGCTACAGGAACTGTATTCAGCTTGAAGTTCCACACTTCTTTTGGGACATAAAAAACGTGGAGCTCCACCAACTAAATAAAGAACAGATGATCATAACTGTAGATGTATCAAAACCCTCTTCCCAGATGCTTTGTGTTGCCTAGGTGGACTTTCAGTTTCTGGAGGCAGGAATGGTTTCTTTGATATTAGCACATGGGCTAGAAGAGTGAGGCTCTATCTGACAATGATGACTAGATAGTGAGAACAGCAATGAGTAGAACAATTTGTGATTAAACGCTGGCTGACAGCATCAAAATAAATCACATTAGAACAAGCTCAACAATGGCAATGAGAGAAAAGAGCCCGTGCTACTGCTGTATGTCACTGAGACAGGAATGGACAGAGTTTACCAAAACCAGCTGATACTCTGAAGCGTGTCATGGTTACGAGAATACTTCAGCTGAAATCCTACCTTCGTTCACCTCATAAAAAGTGCAAAGCCCTGAAATCTTGATTCAAACAGCACAACTTGACCTTGCCAGCAGGAAAAAAAAATTCAAAGTATTTCTGACAGTTGTTAATAATATTAGCTACCTTGGAAGCACAGAAACGCTCCTGGAAATGTCTGCAAAAAAGATTAACTCTAAGCAAGGTTCACTTAGATCGTCTTCAAACCTGTGGTAGCTGTGGGACTCTTAATGTCTCGGTCTCGATATTTTTAGTGAAAATCAGATGGTACAGACAAAGACAATACACTTCCCTACTAGCAGCCATGCAAATAAGCTATATTAAGTATTTCTGCAATTGTTGAGTTACTAAATATAAACTAGAAACGAATACTTTCTATATATACTATATTAAAAGCACAGTTTTTCCTCTCAGGTCTCCTAGAAATGGTGCAGTGTCACTTATTTTAACACTTATTTTTATTTGTGAAATCTAAAAAATCTGTATGGAAAAGTACAAAAACTCTCACCTGTGATGTCTGAGGTCTCATTTGACTGAATGACATGCTGGTCCCTGTACTTGATCACAGCGAATGCCAGGTGGGCTTTCTAATTTTCTTTTTGACCAAAACATTCTTTAAGAATGAGATTCATGATAATCTGTTATGAGAGAGTGTTACTCCATTAATATCCTTTATTTTCATTTACTGTTCTTCTTTCCATTTATGAAAATGGAAAGTTGTTCCTGTGCTGAGGCAGAAAGCTTCCTGCAGAGAAGGAACCACAAACAGGCTCAACCACACCTTCTACACAAGTATCACCTAAGTAACCGGGGGGATTGCTAAATCACAGCCCTGCAGCTCCGGGAGATCTGCCCTGGAGTATTTCCTCTTAACATTTTCTCCCCTTTTATAAAAATACTTCGGTTGTATACAATTTTCTACACAATTGTACCGTTTCCCTAAAGACACAGACCTAAATCCCCACAAAATGGGATACATGCAGGGTCAGGGTTTATCTCCGATAAAGGGACAATTATTGTGAACTGCAGCCGAGCCACACGCACGGCACATTGCGTCTGCCAAACGCAGTATTCCAAGGAAACCTGACTGTGCCAGGCGACCATGTCAGAAAAATCCTTTCATAAACTATAAACCACGGTTCTGCCCTAACCTTGTTAGGACTTTCACAGAATCATAGAATGGTTTGGGTTGGAAGGGACCCCTAGAGGCCATCTAGCCCAACCCCCCTGCAGGGAGCAGGGACACCTTTAACTCCATCAGGTTGCTCAGAGCCCCGTTCAACCCGGCCTTGAATGTTTCCAGGGATGGGGCCTCCACCACCTCTCTGGGCAACCCGTTCCTGTGTTTCACCATCCTCATTGTAAAGAATTTCTTCCTTATATCCAGTCTGAACCTTCCCTGTTTTAGTTTAAAAGCATCACCCCTTGTCCTGTCACAGCTGGCCCTGCTAAAAAGATTGGCCTCATCTTTCCTATAGGCCCCCTAACCTCCACACTCTCCCTTTGAAGGCTCTTGCAAGCACCTCAGAGGTTACAAACCTCCTTCAGATTCCCAGCCTGATGAACGTCCTAGCTGTTCTCCTGATCATCTTAGCAGCTCGCCCTCGTGCCCCTGCTATTTCTAAGTCACCTTTTCTCAAGCATGAGTGACCAGGCCTTCCAGGCAACCTTCCAAGTCTCACCCTGGCTCCAAGCAGTGGAATTAAGATCTCCTGGTGACAGTGGGAAGCACCTACTTAAAAGGGCCCGTGTCTTTATTCGCCTCTTCACAATTACACTGCAATGAGCTCTCACGAATGACCTGACCGAACCATGCAGTCGCTTCTCTGGTTATTCCCAACCAAAGACGCGGCAGGTTGCAGCACTTCTTCCCCTGAGTCCCTGTATATATAGAATCATAGAATCATAGAATCTTTAGGGTTGGAAGGGACCATTAGTGGTCATCTAGTCCAACCCCCCTGCAGTGAGCAGGGACACTGCTAACTAGATCAGGCTGCTCAGAGCCCCGTCCAACCTGGCCTTGAATGTTCCCAGGGATGGGGCCTCCACTACCTCTCTGGGCAACCTGTTCCAGTGTTTTACCACCCTCATTGTAAAAAATTTCTTCCTTACCTCTAGCCTGAACCTACCCTGTTCTAGTTTAAAACCATTTCCCCTTGTCCTAACACAGCTGGCCCTATGAAAAAGACGTTCCCCATCTTTCCTATAGGCCCCCTTTAGGTACTGGAAGGCCGCAATCAGGTCTCCCCGTAGCCTCCTTTTCTCCAGACTGAACAAGCCCAACTCTCTCAGCCTGTCCCGAACCATGCAGTCGCTTCTCTGGTTATTCCCAACCAAAGACGCGGCAGGTTGCAGCACTTCTTTCCCCGAGTCCCTGTATATATGCAGGATCTTGCACTTTGCACGACAACGTGTTGCCCCACGCCATTATCCCAGGCTTCACGGTCATCCCCGGACACAGTCTGCAGCCAACACCCAGCCCCTCTAGGCTGTAGGCACAGCCCAGGCAGGCTGGTGAGGGCAAAGTCAGTGACTTCAATCATTACGTCCCAAAATAAGCTCCAAACTGGTACCTCACTGGATACTACCACCACGATTTGCCACCTTGGTCTTGTCTTCTCTTTTAATCGGCTTTACAGATAAATGGCGGGGGGGGGGGAATCTCATGTTCTGTGTTTTGGGGCA